GCTGGTGGGGGGCTGCGTGGGGGCCTGGGCGATGTCAGAAGAGGAAGCTTGCAGGCCTGGTTGTCTGTTGGGGGCAGCAGGAAGAGGCGGAGGGCAGGATGTGCAGCCCCTGCCTGGCTTTCCTGTGGGACCAAGGAAGCGGCTGGGGGGGGGGACTTGGCCGCTGGCCTTTGTTGCGGAGGCGGCAGTGTGGGAACGCCAGTCCCAAGGGCAGCCTCTGGGGTCTGGGTGCTGCTGCCTGTCTCCTGCCATGGACTTGGCGGGGGGGGCTGTGCTATTGGGCTGGCAGAGACTTAACGGGGGCTGCCTCTCCCAGCCAAAGCTGACCCACAAAATTGCAACCCAGTGTGTGTGTTGTGTGTGTGGGGGGAACCAGCCTGCGCAGGGTAAGCCCCGATGGGGCTCCTGGGCTCCTTCTGATGCATGAAAATTGGAGGTTGTCCTTTACAGCTCAGCTCCCCAAGGGGCTCAAAGCCTCCCAAGTCCATTATCAGTCGGAGACGAATGAGTGGAAGCTGGAAGAAAGGGGGAATCTTTATTTTTCTGTTGAAACAGAGCCCTCCTTCCCACTGACATTTGCAAGGAGGGGAGGACCCCAAACAAAGGTGTGCAGCAGCTTTGAAAGACTTTTCCGGCTCAACATCAGGAAGAGCTTTCTGACAATAAGAGCTGTTCAGCTGTTCGGTCTCTGCTCCCTGGAGAGGCTAGGTGGCCATCTGTCAGGGATGCTTGAGCTAAGATTCCTGCATTGCAGGGGGCTGGACTAGATGACCTTGGGGTCCCTGTCTCTATGATTCTATGATTATAGCATAATACAAGCATCTCAGGAAGAGGCATCTACCAACAGAAATCCAAGAGTGTGGCTTCTCTCCTGTCTGTCAAGGGACCTGCAGATGCTGATTGCCTTACTTGGCCAGTTCCTTAGGACTGGTACATACAGTCATACCTCGGGTTACAGATGCTTCAGCTTAAGCATTTTCAGGTTATGGATGCACTGAAACCCAGAAGTACCGGAATGGGTTACTTCCAGGTTTCGGCACTTGTGCATGCGCAGAAGCGCTAAATCACAACCTGTGTGTGCGCAGACGCAGCAATGTGAGTTGCGAACACTGCGGGTTGCGAACGTGCCTCCCACATGGATCACGTTCGCAACCCGAGCGTCCACTGTACCTTGGTTCTCGAACAGAATGCGTTCCGGGAGTCCATTCGACCCGGAACCATTTGAAAACCAGAGTGCGGCTTCTGCCAGAGGAGCCCCCTGCAGCCAATCAGAAGCCGCACCGGATGTTCACCCTCCAAAAATCATTTGAAAACCAGAACACTCACTTCCGGGTTTCAATTGTTCAGAAGCCGATTTGTTTGGGAGCCAAGCTGCTCGGCTTCCCAGGTACAAACCGAACCTGAGTCCTTGACTCCGTTTCCAGACTTACACCTATTCATGCTCTTTAGACAGGCCTGCTTTGCTTCTGACAAATACTTGCCAGGCTAGTTTTGCAGAGGGGTCCCCTGTTCCTGCCAGGAAGTTCATCTATTCACATTGATTGGAGGATTTGGCAAGTGAAAGAAGTATTGGGAAAGGTTTCCCAGATGAGCCAGGATGGCTTTGCGTGACCTCAAATGAAGTGTCTTATCCTCAGGGAATATTCCTAATTTCTGAAGGGTGATGGATCGGTTTTCTGTGTGACTGCTATCTGTGTGCGCCTTAAAAAAAAAATTTTTACGCTTATTTCTGCCTGGAGGGGCTTGGATGGTGGGCACCACCAAAGGGGCTGCCAGGATGTGGCCAGTGTGTGTGGGGGGGTCTTCCTTGCCTTGCTGGGCTCCAGGGCTGTTTTTAGCAGATGCGGCGCTGGGGTGCAAATATCCGCCCAGCGCCCCCAAATTACCACAGATAGTGTTGGGGTGGCCATAGCTGCGCCACTGGCCAGCCATCCAGGGGGGCAACTCCCCCATGCTGCTGCGGGAGAGCTATCCCCACAGAGGCTTGGGAGTGAAGTTGCCCCCCTCCCAAACCTCCTGGGGAGGAGAGCAGTCCCTGCAGAGGCTTGGGAGGGAAGCTGTGCGTCTGGCCAGTCTTATGGTTGGTGGGACGCAGCTGGAGGGCATGCGGGGAAAGGGGAGGCCGCCGGCAAAGCCGCGCAGCTCCCCCCACTCGCTGGGGGCGCCCCTGAGAGGCCGGTGCCCTGGCGTTATGCACCACTAAGCCCTATGGGAAAGACGGCTCTGCTGGGCTCCAGTGGGGTGTAGTGGTTAAGAGCGGGAGACTCGTAATATGGTGAACCGGGGTTCGCTTCCCCGCTCCTCCACATGCAGCTGCTGGGTGACCTTGGGCCAGTCACACTTCTCTGAAGTCTCTCAGCCCCTCTCACCTCACAGAGTGTTTGTTGTGGGGCAGGAAGGGAAAGGAGAATGTTAGCCGCTTTGAGACTCCTTCGGGTAGTGATAAAGCGGGATATCAAAATCCAAACTCTTCTTCTTCTTCTTCTAAGCTTCCGCCCTCTGTGGAAGGGCAGCCTCGTAAGGTGGGGTTGCTCCAGATTACAGGCTGGCCTTCGCCATCCTGCTTCCCTCCAGGCGCAGCCAGCAGGACCAATGGCTAGGGCTGAGGTGGACCCAGCAAACGCTTGAGGACGCCTCTCGACCTGGGGGAGGAGGCTGTCAGAGATCCAGGCCTGTTGCCCTCGCTGCCTCTTTAGCGTCGGACGGTCCCTTAGCCGTGATTCCTGAATTGCAGGGGGTTGGAATGGATGATCCTAGGAGGCAAGGACAATAGAGACTTTATTTGTTTTTATTCATTTCTATTAAATTTTCCACTTTAAAAATCCACTCAAAAGGACAATTGAGACTTTAAAAAAGACTGGGAAGCGTTTATGTTGCATTTACTGAAACATTGTAAAGAAGTGGACTCACTAGCAGAGTTTGAGTAAACACTTACAGTCTACAAAACAAACACAGAAATGAAGATAACAAGTGTAAGATACAATTTGAAGAGAATGATGGTACAAAAATGACGAGTGTAACAATATTTAATTTAAAGATTACAATATTCAGGTATTAATAAGCAGGAGAAGCAAATACTTAAAGAACCAGAAGAGGAAGTTGAGGGAAGTCGCGGGGGAGAGTGGGAATTAAAGTTTTTTCTTTTTATGTGATAATGGTGATTGTGATGAATATAAAACTCTCAAATTTAATAAAAACTTTTTTTTTATAAGACCCTAGGGCTCCCTTCCAAGGCTGCAATGATGGGATTCTAGATGCTGTTTGGGGGGCCGTGTGAAGCCCCCTTGGCCGGCCCTCTGGCTGCTGCCAGCCAGGCCTTTGGAGACCCCCTGCTGACCCCTCCTCTGCCCTCCCCCAGGCTTGACAGGACCATGTCGGAGGTGCGCAGGGCCAGCACCAGCAGTCTGCAGCGCAAGAAGCCCCCGGGGCTGATGCTGGACATTCCCGCCCCAACGGTCTTGGCTGAGGAACCAGCCATGGCACAGGTAGTCATTTTTATCATCTCTTACATTTTTAAAATTTTTATTTATATTTTTCAGATATATACATTTCACCAATTTTACAATCACTTTGACATTTTAAAACTTGACTTCCTTCCCCCTCTCTCTGCGGTTCCTTAAATTTATTTTTAATATCTTCTGCACAGCCAAATTAACTTAACTCACTCATTTACAGTATCTTCTTTGAATATATACTCTCATGTAACTGCAGGTTATTACAGTAATCCTGCCAGTGTTGTTATCTGCTTACAATTTATCTGTAAATATCCAATAAACCGTCTCCATTCTTTTATAAAAAGTTTGTTATCTTGATTTCTTCTTATTCCAGTAAGTTTGGCCAATTCTGCACATTCCGTAAGTTTTTGTATCAATGATTCCTTTGCTGGGACTTCTGCTTCTTTCCTTTTGGGGCCAAGAAACATTCTTGCCGCTGTAGTCGCGCACATGAATAAGTTTCTTTACAATTTATGTAGTTCTGTCCTATAATTCTTGAG